TCTTTCCCTTTGTGTACTTGGTTTGGCTTATCCCGTCCTTTCTCACTCTCAACCCCTTCACACAGGGAAACAAAATCAAAACCAGTAACAAAATTCTAAAGTGCCTTGCTTGGCATCAAGTCGGGGCTCTAGGTAGTCCCCTGTCTACAGATCCAGGGTCCTCGCTCCCCTGGGGTCCACCCCAGGTATGACCCCTGTGTGCCGTACACCCGTAGTCTTCTCTCTCTGGACCGGCTTAAACCGGGTGTCTTGGGGCCTCCCCACATGTGGCTGTTTGCCTTCCGGATTCAGGGTAAACGCCCTGTTCTTCCGTGGTCCTCCTCGTTGCTCCTCTCGAAGCTCTCCCCACGGGGTTGCTGCTTCTCCTCCCCATCATTCCCATGGCTCCCACCTGATAGATTGTAGATCCTCGTGGGCTCGTTCCTCCCTTCTTTGCGGTGGCTGTCTCTGCCACCTGCAGAGACTGTTTTTAATTTGTTTGTGTAGCTGCCGGCCTGTTCCCTGCCGCCGCCAGCACACTCTTCCTCTGGCTCCTTATCCGAGGCTTCGTGCCTCCTAGGGATCTCCGGGCATGCGGTTTGTGCCCATATGCTTCTCCAGCTCTCTCCTTTCCCCTCACTGCTGGTTGCCATCTTTATCTTCGCCGGCCGGCGATTATTGATGACGTCACCGGCCGGTCTCAATTGAATAAAGCTGATGAGCCGCACAGGTTCCTCTTCTTGCTCCCGCCTCGCTACCGCTCCTGCTGCGGGTGGTTTTTTTTTTTCTTTCTCATTTCATTTCTTTGGTTTGTTGTGCCCCCTTCTTGCTCTTTCCTGTGACAGTGTGTTTGAAGGAGTCAAGGCTCTGCTGAATTTTGGCTGCATTCTCCATAGTAGAGTACATAAAGTTTCAAGTGTAAGATGCATACTGAAGGAGGCTCAAGGTTTTGTCAAAGTCCTTAAGTCAGTACCTTCCTATTGAATTATGCAGAGGCTGTGCCTTTCCTTCATTGGAACTGTTCTAGTTGCAGAGAGTGATGGTTTTTAACCAAACAATTTCAGATGATAGATTTACTCTATTTAAAGAAGTCCACTGGAAAACTGGGAAGATATAATTTTTATATGACTGAGTGCTCAGGACAGTAGTGGATGACTATAACTGTACTGCGTTGTATGTAGAGCCTTTAGTTACATAACTATATTCTGTTTCCCAAGTATAACATGATATACACATTTTCCTACGATTCTAAGGTCTACCTGTATGACCGACAAAATGATGAAGAATTTTCAAGAGCCTCTTTTGTTTTTTGTTTTTTTTTTTCCTTCATTATAGGTGTTATGTGCCAGTGACTTTCAGGGACTCTTCAGAATATTGTATTGCACAGTAGTAGAAAATGCTATGTATGTAAGGTGGTAGAAAAAGACAAAATATGTGATTATGTATTTGGAGGATTTTCATGGTACACATGGTAAAAGATAGAGTTAAGAATGAATACGTTGTCTTTATGAGTAGGATTTCAGTGCTTTACTTAACATTTAACAGAATTATACTTGTCTAGTTAAATTCATTTTACATTTCAGACTCTTGGTAGCACTGCCCTGTTAAGATATTACCAAATTCATTTTTCTCATGTCATTAACCTAATTTGTGGTAATGTACAACACTAAAATATTACAAATTAAGAACAGTTACTGATAAATACTTTTGTTTTTAGGACATGGTTAATAGACGAATTTCAATGGACATGATGCTGAAGGTGGCAGATTCTCAGCATAATCGACAGTTCATTTTTCTTACTCCACAAAACATGAGGTAATCATTTTTCCTTCTTTGCTAAAAAATCCACAAAAAATGCAAGTGAAAGAAAGAAATAGACCATTTTTTACATTTTGTACTTATAGAGCATCAGCAATAACCACATTCTGAAATAGCCAGTAAAATAATCCTATAAATAGTGTTATCAGTTCCCCCTTCCTTACTAACCTTACTTTTCAGCAGTCCTAGCTTTACTACTTAGTGACTGCACTATGCAAGCTTACATTTCAAGTGTTACTTAAAATAAATTGGAAGTAGTCTTTCTTGTATTCTTTAGAATCATCTGTCTGAAGAATTAATTTTTCAAACTTTTCAAAAACGATTGTTTTATATTCCTTTAGTCCCTTATTTTTGTAGAGCAACCATTACCTATTATTTAGGTAGATTGGGCTTTACCTGTTACGTTACGGCCACCCCAGGGATGGCCATGATGTCCCTAGGGCCCTGTGACTGTGCCGGCTCCGCCCTATGGGTGCCTACTAATCTCGCCTGCCACATCTTGCTGATATAAATGCTGAACCTGGAGGCTGCCCTCGGGTTGCTGCTGACAGACTCCTCTAAACCCTGTGGGTTGTTGGACCCCTTACTGGGTCCCACACTCAAGAGGTGCCTTGTGGTACGCCCCCAAGTCTTATGGGCTAGATGCATGGCTCCAAAACTGCCCCTTTACCATGCCTCACAAATGGTATTTAGGCCTTGTCTCTTGTGATGAGGCCTCAGTCTAGTTTGGCTTCTTGCTGTCACTGGACCTTTAGCTTCAATAACTGTGCCCTCTGGTACTGGGGTCTCCTCACCCCATGTTGCTATGCCCTCTGGCGCTGGGCTCTCCGCTGCCCGGTCACCATGCCGTCTGACACTGGGGTCTCTGCTGCCCTGTCACTGTGCCCTCTGGTGCTGGGCTCTCGACAACTCTGTTGCTGTGCCCTCTGGCGCTGAGTGCTCTGCAGCCCGTCTCTGTAAGCCCTGTCTCAGCATCCTTTGGCACTGGGCTCTCTGCAAGCCCTGTCTCAGCGCCTTACTGGCACTAGGCTCTCTGCAAGCCGTGTCTTGCTGCCCTCTGGTGCTGGGGTCTCCACCCTGTAGTGTGCCCCAATGAGGTCTCTTCCTCCCCAATAGTCTCGGCCCAGTTCACTGGCATAAATAACAGAAAACAAAAGCCCCTGGGCTACAACATAACAATAACCTATGGTCCACCCTCTCTCCCTTTTAAGAAGGCAAGCTTCTCTCTGTCTAATGCGCCTCCTCCCCACCAGCACTTATGAGCTCCTATAGCCCCTTAATCCTACCAGCATCAGGACAGACAGTCAAGCATCTCCATGTAGCTTTCTCTGAGAGCTCCTTCCCCCTTGGCTGCTACCAGAGAACTAACTGCCTCCAGCCCCAGCCCTGGGGCTTACCTGTGCCCAGGGCCCTGCCTTCTGGTGAGCTGACCGGGGACAGTTGCAGGCTAATTCCCTTCTTAGCCTGCTGCCACAGCAACCTACACCTGTGGGGTTTCTGCCTGGCTCCTAGGGCCCTGTCTCTAGGCAGTTTCTGTCCTTAAAGGAGCTTAGTGCCCTGTGATACCCTACTACTTCTGACATTCTGACATGATTACCATTGATCTATGATTCATAGATTGTAAGGCAGGAGGGGACCTTGAAAGATTATTGGGCCCAGCCCCCTGCACCAAGCAGGAAAGACAACTGGGGTCAGATGACCCCAGCAAGGTGCCTGTCCAGTTTCTTCTTGAAGATTTTCCAGGGTAAGCAATTGTACTACCTCTGGAGGGAGCTTATTTTACAGTCTGGACATCCTAGTTGTGAAGTAGTTTTTCCTAATGTTGAGCCTGAAACGGTCTTCCAGGAGTTTGTGACCGTTACTCCTAGTTTTCCCCAAGGGTGCCCTGGTGGACAGTTGTTCACCAAGCCCTTGATGTATGCTTCTGATGTGTCAGTAAGCTGCTCCAAGTCCCCTCTCAGCCTTCTCTTTTTCAGGCTTATGAATCCCAGATCCCTCAGCCTTTCCTCATATAGCTTGCTCTGTAAGACTGATCATATGGGTGGCCCTTCTCTGGACTCTCTCAAGCTTTACCATGTTCTTGTTAAAGTGCGGCACCCAGAACTGGACGCAGTACTCCAGCTGTGGTCTCATCAGTGCCAAGTAGTGTGGGAGAATCACTTCTTTGGTTTTGCTGGAGATGCATTGATTGATTCATGCCAGGGTATTGTTAGCCCTGCTGGCTACAGTGTTGCACTGCTGGCTCATGTTCATTCTGTGGTCAGTTATTACCCGCAGGTCCCTTTCATTCGTAGTGCTGGTCAGGTTGGTGTTGCCAAGCCTGTGTGTGTGTGTGGGGGGGGGGGGGGGGTGGGTGGCTGCCGTCTAGGCCCACGTGTATCTGCAGCCTATCTTCAAGTGTGACCATGCTTCCTCATAACTTGGTGTCATCCACGAACCTGACCAGTGAACCCTTCACCCCCACATCCAAACCATTGATGAAGATGTTGAATAGCACTGACCCCTGCAGGACACCACTGGCCACTTCCCACCAAGATGAGACCGATCCATTCATTAGAACTCTCTGGGTCCTGCCCCACAGCCAGTTTCATACCCACCTGACTATCTCACAGTTAAGCCCACAGTCTTCTCATTTTCTCGCGAGGATGTTGTGGGATACCAGATCAAAAGCTTTCTTGAAGTCAAGGTCAACCTCTTTTCTCTTATCTAGGTGATGAATCACCTGATCATTAAAGGAGATGAGGTTGGTAAAACAAGACCTTTCCACAATGAAACCATGCTGGCTGTCATTCAGAATCCTACCTTCTGCAAGCCTGTAGCACATAGACTCCTTAATGAAGTTTTCCAGGATTTTCCCTGGAATAGAAGTTAGGCTATAATTACCTGGGTCCTCCCTCCTCCCCTTCATGAAGATGGTCACAACATTGGCCCTCTTCCAGTCCTTGAAGACCTCTCCTGAGCAGTGTTCCCTCTAAGCTGCGTGGCCGTGCAGGTGTGCCTGGCAGCGCAGCCACGCACACCGTGCAGCTTAGAGGGAACGCTGCCCTGGAGCACCATGAGTTTTGGAAGAGCTTTGCCAGGGGTTCCACAGTAACTTCAGCCATCTCCTTTGGCACTCAGATGAAGTTCATCCGGACCTGCTGACTTATATATGTCCAATTTCTTTAATTGATCACATACTAGTTCTATGGCAATAGTAGGAAGGTGGTCATTTGAACCCTGCTCATTTTGTACCCTAGCTGGCATGATTTTCCCCTTGGCCCAGTGGAAGACTGAAGCAAAGTAGTCATTCAGGAGTTCAGTTTTCTCCTGAGAGCTGGTGACTAGCTGTCGTGAGTTTTTGAGCAAAGGCCCCACACTTCCATTTGTTTTCCTCCCGTTCCCTACGTATGTTTAAAAAAAAAAACAAAAACAAAAAAAAAACTTCTTGTTGTCTGCGATTCCCATTGCTAATTTTAGTTCAGAGTTCCTTTGTGCTTCAAAGAGTTTGTCCTTCAGGAACGACCATCCTTTATACACTCCTTTTACCTTTGGTCCCTGGCCCCTCAGCACATTCCCTGCTAGTGACCTGAGCTTGTTGAAGTTTGCACTTTTTAACTCCAAAACTTCAAGCCTGCCATCCGATTTGTCTGCCTTGCTAGTGTCCCACCATTATTATTTTATATTTTGATTGCTGGGATTTGTCAGTTGCACACACAGTCCTTGTCCTTTCAGTCCTGAACTGGTGCAACTCAACTGCTGTACTTCTCCATCTTTGTGGTCAGCTTTCTTCTCAATATTTATGGGTAGGGATGATCATCAATCTCCTCTTTGGAGGGACAGATAAGGAATGCTGCTTGCTTCCTGTCCCCCAGTTTGTGTCCACACGAGGCTAGGTTACAATCTGTCCCTGAAGTCGAGGGTAACATACTTGCATCTATGGAAAAATTATCTAGGAAAACACTACCATATTTTCTCACATAATACCTGAAAATAAAGCGCACACTTTTCTTGGAAAAAATATCTTTATTGGCATTATCTCCATACTGGCAGGTGCAGGTGCACGTTGGAGCAGATGGTGGGGGAGCGGCCTGAGGCAGTGCAACCCTGGCTTCTCCCCGCTGCTGGCACAGAGCTGATGACTGGGCTCTGAAGCCCGGCGCAGCTGTTTGTAGCCAGCCCGGGCTCTGACCAGTTGCAGCAAGCAGGCTGCAAACAGCTGCGCCGGGCTCCACAGCTCTGGCATCAGCTCCATGCTGGCAGCGACTGCACATGTACCTCAGAGTGGACAGCGGGAGGCTGTGCTAACTCAGGCCCTAACCCCACCATCCGCTCCAAGGCGCACATGCACCCGCCAGTATGGAACTGATGCCAGAACCCCGAGCAGCTGTTTGTAGCCTCCTGGCTACAGCCAGCCCAAGCTCTGGTAGCTGCTTTCAACCACAGAACCCAGTCTGCTTGCAGCAGGGCTTGCAGCTGAGCCCGCCTGACTCCCACTGGCTCCGAGCCCAGCCCCAGCCCAGCTCCACACCAGAATGAGGCTGGCGCTGCCCCTTGCCAGGAGCACTGCACATTTTGTCAGCTTAGCTGTGCAGGGTGGGTGGCTGGGCAGGCTCCAGGCCGGGGTCTCGGCCAACTGCACTGCAGCATGGGGGCTGGCTCCCTGGGGAAGCACAGGGGCTCTGGTGGGACCAGGGCATTGTTGGGTTGAACTTTGTCCAGTGGCCCAGGAGCCCAGCTCTATGCGCCTACACATCTGGTTCTGTGTAGTTGTCTGCCTCTGTCTGGTTCTGGGTGTGTGTGTGTGTGCATGTGTCTGTTCTGGGTGTGTTCTGGTTCTCTGTGTTTGTGCATGTGGTTCTCTGTGTGCATGTCTGGTTCTCTCTCATTGCAACATGCTCAACAAAAAAGGAATACACAACAACAAAGGCAACATTTATGATTATTAAATATATTAATATGCAGTGCAACCTGCCATGTACCATCCCCCACCCTCATTTTGTTTTTCTGGCATGCCGGCACTTCAGCACCTTCCAAGGTAGAAATTGTGGTGTTTTTTTGGGCGCACTGGCCACAAAAGGTTGCCTAACCCTGCCTTGGTGTTAGGGCATAAAAGGGGCAGCCTCCCACCTAGAAACAGCTTGGTAGTTGCATCAAAGGTGCGGCGTGCAAGTGAGGTGGGTGGGCTGATGTTGTGGTCAGCTTTGAGACAGCCCCCTGTCATACTGCTGAATTTTATGTTGGAACAAATGTTGTATTCTGAATAATTTATAAAACTGTATTTATATTGTGAGATTTTGCTGTTCGATTGCATTGTTCTAGATATGAGATTTTCACATGTTAAGATACTTAATATGACTTCATTTTGGTAAGAGATGTGCTTATTTTCAATTTTAATCAGAAACGCTAATATAATAGAAAACAACACAACAGAAGTATAATTAAGATACCTTGTAGAACAGTCTTGGTCTGTAACTTAGAGCCATTTTTGCATATATGTATCTGCAAACCTTTACTAGTAATTAAAACAAGGTAAGTAGAGTTATGCACATGCAGATACTTGCACCCTTGTTGTCTAAGGTAATTTAAAAGGTATTTGAACATAAATTGCTTCACTTTCAAGTTTGTCCTTCAGCTTAAAATGCTATTTGCATAATTTATACACATATAAGCTCGGGGATGGAGCTAGCAGGTTCACTCTCCCTGGAGACTGCCAAGGGAAGCAACCTAGCCTTAGAGTTGCCCAGAGACATTTAATTGCCTGCTTTACTGTCTATAAGGACTAAGGCTCCAAAAGCATACAAGGTAAGTAGGGCTAGGAGACAGCAATCTACTTGTTACATTTACAGAGCTGAAATAAATATGGTATTCATGATGACATAAAATACAAAGTAATAAAACTAAGTTAAGGCCAAGGTTGAAGTCTCAGTCTGCAGTGTGTGAGGACTGTATTCCATGTTATTGGTTTATGTGATCGAATTAAAAATGCAGTTAAAAGCTTAATGTAACAGAAGGGCTAACTGGCAGAAATATTAAGACTTGTCTATGAGGAAACATCATTTAAAATTGCGTGCGTCTTGTTTCTAGCGCTTTACCTACAAGTCGTTTTATTAGAATCCTCCAACTGCAGGACCCTGAAAGAAGCCAAAACCTGAGTTACCAAAATGGACATCAAGAAGAAGACTGAAATAAAAGCACTATGGTACCTTAATTTTCTACGGTTTTGTGATATTTTATACTATATGTATAATTATGTCTATAATAATATTTACTTATTATTGTTCATTAAGAAGAAAATATAATTGGATGATATGTCTAACAAAGGAAGCTGTTCCTTTTAGATTTTCTGCAAAAGTACATGATTGTACAAACCTAAAATGTAAATACAGCACAACATTTTTAAAAAATTAAGTTTCTGTTCATTAGAAAAACTGAAACATTAATTTCTACTGCTTTTTTAATTGTCAACTAAAAAAATTGTGTTTAATTAAATACAAAAAATATTTTAAGAAACTCTAAGAATTGATTTGGCTAGTAATGTGCTAAATACACAAAGTTAAAATGTGAAAATCGGCCTACAGGTAATCTTAACGTTTTCATTTACACTGTTTTAGGAGTTTTTAGTATAAAGCCCTTAACCTCATCTTTGAAGCCTGTTAGCTTTGCTGTTCTGTGCATCAAATATAATATTATCATGATATTAGCCAGTATTTCTGATTTATTTAGCAGTGTTGATACCTGCAATATAATGCATTTCCAAGGCAATATATGTCTTAAGGACTGAACAAGTGATAAATGAAAAGTTGAACAAAAATGCACAGCTCTTTTAAAAACTGTCTTTTCCCTGGCACTATTGAATGTTGATGGTGTATTAATACATTTAATTGAGTCATATTTTGATGGTGTAACTATATCGGAAAAAAGACATTATTGACTAATAACTGGAATTATTCAAAATATGTTGTCCATATACATGCACACCCATGTATAGATGGGCTTAGCCCCTGAGCCTTTGACCATACAGCTTTTCTTACCTTACCAGTATCCACACACACTGCTCTAGCTCCTCTTCTCATACTACCCCTACACATAAGGGATAAAGGACAAAACATTCATCCCTGGTTCTCAGTTTCCTCTAACTTCAGAGAAGCTGACTCTCAGAAGGAGAAAAGAAGGAAGGTGGAATTCAGAAGTGGGTGTAGACAACCATGAATGACTTGTGCCTCCTGAGACGGGGCTGCACAATTTGTGGTCGGCAGCAGGGTGGTGAGCAGCAACCACCTGCAGAAGCCAGTGGCAGGGGGGGGGGGGGGGGCGGGCACCCCCCTGCAAAAGCCAGTGGCAGGGGTGGTGGGGTGATCGGCGACTACCCACAGAAGAAGGCGGTCAATCTCAGAGGGGACACACGCCCTCCCTATGAGTCACCTATGTGGACAACACATCTTGAAGAATTACCGGTAAATAACTTCCTTTCCTCTTTTAAGCTGTCCACACATGTTAGGGTAGCTTGTCACATTTATGCATTAAGTTGTGCCTGCTTGGGTGGTGAATTATAGTATTGTTTGAATTTTTCTTTTATATTTAGCCTTATTTAACCATTGCTTAAGGTTTTGTGTAGGCTCATTTTTTTTTTAACCTTTTTCTATCAGCTAGCCTTGAGCTGTTTTCACAGACAGCTCAGCCTTGAGCTCACTTACACACTTATTGTTTTTTTTTTTACAACTTTTTTTTTTTTATCACTGTGAGAATTCTTCTAATATAACATAGCAATAGCCTTGTTACCAGCTCAAATTAATTGAACTTGGCACTAACTGACTGAATCGGAGGGATGAAATAATTGTCCAGTCATTTCAGAGGGATGAAATGATTATCCTATGGACCTCACTCTCTCAGTCTATGTTAATGATGGATGATAAGAGGAGACCAACAGACAATGCCCAAATCAAGATACCAGTAAAGGATCAAATTAGGTGTGCATGTGATGGATCTGTTGAAAAAGGGGAGTATGCTGACAGGATACGATATGGACAGTATGCTGACCACAGGGAACCAATCAATGGTACCCGGAAACAAAGAGTTATCAGAGGAGTGAAGTTGAAAAAAAGCATAAAGGGGGGCAACAAGAAAATGAAGTGTGTGTTGTCATACATCCAGGAAACAACATCTCTCTGCATTGTGCCAGTCACAACACACCCTGTACTTTCAGATTATATGACTGGCCATCAGACCCTGAAGTGAAGTTAACCATCTGGAAATTGGATGCGTGTTTTCCTCTCTCTCTATATATAGAAACTGCTAAGATAACATTGCTTGTATCAATAAAGTTAGACTTTGGTTAAGTTCAGCTGATACTTCATGTTCATTTTCTGGGTTAATTGTGCTTAAACGATCCCGCAGAACCATCTGGAGGGCAGTGGCAGTAACACATGTTGTCATATGTGGATGACTTGAAAGCGGTGTCCATAACATTTGCCTGAGGAGACCCCAAGTCTCATCTCTAAAGATCAACTGGAGTACCACTCTATTGAGTGGACGCAGGTGTCGTGGTAGATGTAGCCCTTCTAGACTTCAGGCAGACCCTTGACACTGTATCCCACCCCATTCTCATTAAAAAGCTAGGTGACTGTGCTACTGATGCCTACACAGTCAGATGGATAGCAAATTGGCTGAGGGGCCGCACTCAGAGAATGGTGGTGGATGGGTCCTATTCGACCTGGAGGGATGTGAGCAGCGGAGTCCCCCAGGGCTCGGTCCTTGGGCCTGCACTGTTCAATTTCTTTATTAGTGACTTGGACAAGAGGGTGAAAAGCACCTTGTTTAAACTTGCAGACAACACCAAGATTTGGGGCAAAGTAGGCATGCTAGAAGGGAGGGACAGGATATAGCTGGACCTAGACAGGTTACAGGGGTGGGCAAATGAGAATAGGATGGGATTCAATACTGAAAAGTGCAAGGTGCTACACTTGAGCAGTAAGAACCAGCAGCATACCTATAAGCTGGGGAACTCTGGTCTCGAAAGCACAGCGGCAGAAAGAAACCTTGGAGTCTTTATTGATTCCAAGATGAACATGGGCCGCCAATGTGAGGACACAGTCAGTAGGGCTAACCGCACCTTGTGCATCCACAGATGCATCACAAGCAGGGCCAAGGAGGTGATCCTCCCCCTCTATGTGATACTGGTCAGGCTGCACTTGGAGTTCTGTGTCCAGTTCTGGGTGCTGCATTTCAGGAGGGATGTGGACAACATTGAGAGGGTCCAAAGGAGGGCCACTCGCATGATCCAGGGACAGCAGGGCAGAGACCCTACAATGAGAGGCTACAGGACCGTAACCTGTTCAACCTTCATAAGAGAAGGCTGAAATGTGACCTGGTGGCCATCTATAAACTTACTAAGGGGGACTCACGGGGAATGGGAGAGACCTTGTTCCCCCAAGCACCTCCCAGAGTAACAAGGAATAACGGCCATAAGTTGTTAGAGAGTAGGTTCAGACTAGACATTAGAAGGCACTACTTCATAGTCAGGGCAGCTCAGGTCTGGAACCAACTTCCAAGGGAAGTAGTACTGGCTCCTACCTTGGGGGTCTGTGACATCTGTAGGTATTATAGGGCTTGCTAGTACTGCTCTGTGCTCATCTGTCTACAGGTGGTGACAGGGTAGACCTTGGCTCTGGATCACCAGGTCTGCCAGAAAGTGGATCTTACATTTTTCTTTCCTGCCACGACTTTGATGACCTTTATATTCCTGGGAGGCAATGCCCACGGTGATCCTGCCTGGTCTTGATCCCTGTGTCTTCTGTGGGGCTCCAAACCTCCCCTTTACCCCAACCTAACCTCTCCAGATGGTGTTTTACAATGTTCTTTCACAGCCAGGTTGCAGTGCTGCCTGTTGTAACCTTTTCTGCACCCCAGGGTGTCCTAGTGCCTTTTTTGGGTACTCCCTTCCAGGGGCCGGTCTTGGCCTGTGCTGAAACAAAATGAAAAAAAAATAGCAGAAGCAATCACACGAAAAAAAAACAAACCCTGGCTGCTTCTCAGCCTTCTTGTTGGGCTCTGGCAATGTCCCCAAAACAAATCCCTTAGTCTATTCTTTGCTGTGTGAGCCTGCCCTGCACCGCTATGAACGTTCACAGTCTTTTGGGGTCTCTCCTCCTGTGGAAGAAGGCTCTACCTGTGACTAGATTTTTTCCCTTTGGACCCTCCTCCGGATCCTCTGCTGGAAAAACTCCAGTCCGGAAATTCACTCTGGCCTTGTGAACTCCCTTGCTCTGGATCCTCAGCTGTGGCTCTGCTCCAGAGATTCCCACTAGCCACTTGTTTGCAGGCCTCCGCCTGCCTCAGGGGCACTCCCATAGCGTTCTTCAGGCACGCTCTGCAGTTTCTGCCTGCCAAGATGCTCAGCCGCTCCTCTCTCTCTGCGGCAGGGAACTGACCCTGCTCTGCCTCCCTCCAGGGCCAGAAATACCTTTGAGCGGCCTCCCTCCGCCAATCCTGAGTGAGATGCTGCTCCGGAAATTGGGTGGGTATTTTCCTTCCTTTCCAGGCTGCGGCTGCAGCCCTGCCGGCCCTCCAGGCTGTATGTTCTGTCTTACTCCTTCACAGGGTCTATAAGAGGAGGCTTGACGATTACCTAGCTGGGGTCATTTGAGCCCATTTTCATAGAATCATAGAAGTAGGGTCGGAAGGGACCTTGTAGATCTTCAGGTCCAACCCCCCGCCTGGGCAGGAAGAAAAATGGGCTCAAATAACCCCAGCCAGGTAGGCATCAAGCCGCTTATTAAAGACCCCCAGGGGAGGAGCCAGCACCACTTCACTTGGAAGTCGGTTCCAGATCCTAGCTGCCCTAACTGTGAAGTAGTTCCTACAGATGTCTAATCTAAACCTACTCTCCAACAACTTGTGGCCGTTATTCCTTGTTATTCCGGGGGGCGCTAGGGGAAACAAGTTTTCTCCTGCCCAGGGCAGGGGGTTGGACTAGAAGATCTGCAAGGTCCCTTCCAACCCTACATCTATGAATCTATTAGAAGTGGTGTCAGCAATTGTTAGTTCTTACAGGTAGTCTAAAATATTTGGGATTTATGACAATGGGAAAATCCTTTTTGGCATCATAAGGAAGAACTCAACCATTTTGCAAATTAGATGCCCCTTGTGGAAGCTTTCCTGCTATGGACTAACCCAGGTGTGTCAACCATACACCTGCTCTTTCCAGCCAACCAGGCTACCAGCAAGCCATTGAAAGGTAAGAGGCAGGGAGTGACCTGCTATAGAATTTGAGGCCCCTTGTCCTGGTAGTCATGACCACTGGCAGTGAGTTTGACTCAAGCTCCAAAGAAGAGCCACCTGTATAATCGGAGTCTTAAAAGGCAAGCCATATGAGGAAAGGCTGAGGGATCTGGGACTCTTCAGCCTGAGGAAAAGAAGGCTGGAGGGGACCTGGTAGCAGCTTACTGCTATACTAGGGGAGTACATCAAGGGCTTGGCAAGCAACTGTTCACCAGTACACCCAAGGGGAAAACCAGGCATAATGGCCATAAACTCCTGGAAGACTGTTTCAGGCTCAGCATTAGGAAAAAATTCTTCAGTCAGGGTGTCCAGACTATGAAATAAGCTCCCTCCAGAGGTGATGCAATAACCTACCCTGGAAATCTTCAAGAGGAGACTAGACAGTCACCTTACTGGGGTCACCTGACCCCCAGTTATCTTTCCTGCTTGGTGCAGGGGGCTGGACCTGATGATCTTCCAAGGTCCCTTCTGGTCTTACAATCTATGGATCTATGAATCGCTGCTGCCCCTGAACCCCTTCCCCTACCCCGACCTCCCGTGCCCACCCCCCCCTGCCACGGGACCTGCCATCGCCATGGTGGCAGCCACCCCTGTGCCCAAGGCTGGAGTCAGCCTATCAGGAGCCCAGCAATGTGGATCTGGCCCAGGGCCCAGGTGAGTTTGATAGCAATGGGTTTATACCAGTGATTTTCAACCTTTTTTCATGTGCAGACCTGTGACAGGGGCCATCTCGAGGCCAGTCCAGTCGTTGGCCTACCCACTGTCTAAGGCAGTCAGCCCACCTGACTCACCTGCCATGCCCTTGTTGGAACTAAAAAGGTGTTCACAGGTGGGAGGCTGCCCATTTAATGCCCCAATGCCAAGGACATAATACACGGCTCCAAACCATCCCTATATTGTGTCCCATGCCTTACAGGTGGCATCCAAAATCACTTCCAAGTCCCCAGCCCCTTAGCTGGACTGCACTCAGCCTGTGGCCCAAATTTGGCCTCAGGTGTCCTCAGCCACGCCTTG